TTGGAAACAGCTCTTGAATGATGAGAGAATAATTTTATCTTTATCCTGTCTGTTGATTTGATGCATACCGGTGTGTTAAAACGAAAAAAAAGAACAGAAGACGTAACGGTATGTGCACATTTGTTTATCAGTGTGTGGAAGAAACAGCCTTTTTCTGGATGTTATTTAACAAAAATGAGCGCTGCGAATAGAATTACACAGCTTTTGACGGATAATGTGTCTCAATAGCTTTCCGAGTCTTCATCTACCTCAGGCGTTTATGAAGAAGAAGTGGCCACCCATTTGTGGAAAATGTTAGAATCAATCTTAACTAGTGATTCGTACACACATGAAGATCAAACTACACTCGATTACTCGACTCCTGACTCCGAACTCGATGGATGTGAAGAGAATCCAGATGATCCTAATCAAAATCCGGACTATGAAGAAGAAGATACGAAAACCAAAGTTTTTGAGGACGTCACTCTTTCTTATATGAAAATGGCTCTTGAATTCTATGATACTATTAATCCCAAAACAGGTAAAAGAAAGCACACATGAAAGAATGTAAAACATCACTTTCAACGTATACCATATCAATATTATATGGCTTGTTGCCGAAAATATGTTGAGCAAGAAGGAACGAAGAAGCGCAAAAAGTCGATTCTGTTGACGTTTCCGTGTATCAGAAGTTTGAGTGTGCTAGAGATTTACTGCGCTCTGTACATTATATCAAGTTGAAAAGATGAGGACATCAACAAGCAAGATCAATATCATTCAATGAGTTTACTGTTTCCGACACTTGGTTACTCAATTTCAAACGCAAATATGATATTTGCTCACGTAAAATAACTAAGATGGTGACAAAGCGAGAGATGAATAATGAAGACGATATTCAAAAATCGGCTGATCTATTTGTGGCTGAAATAGGGAAACTTCTTTCACACTATAAAGAAGATAATGTTCTAAATACTGATCAGTCGGGTCTGAAAACTTGAGATACACTCTAGTCGTACCCTCAGTCACCACGGCGACAAAATCACACTGTCAACCGTTCGTTCTGAAAATACCACTACTAACAGTTATACTGTGCAATCGATGATAAGCTTGAGTGGTAAAGTGATTGGACCGGTTTTTCTCAGTCCCAAAGAGCCGGGCGGTCGAATGAGCGATAATATCAAGGATAATCTTTCCTATAGATGGTGCTCGTGAATGATTTTTGTAACACGAAATATTCTTTCGAGAGTGATGGCTTTTGCTCGAGAAATGTTGTCAAATTGGCTCATGTTCTAAGTCATTAAAACAGGCGCTGATTGCAAGAAATACTATGTAACAACCAATAATCATCGCCAGGTGTGGATAGTCTTAGCTGTACAAATATCCTAAACCCAAATACTCATGCAATTCATATCAATAAATAATCAACAGATCGTATTTTTTTCAAGTTATTCAAGTCTCAAAATACCAGAACGCGAACTCGCGTTGCCCATTCTCAAGGAGTTAATCGATGTTTATAAAGAACCGTTACAAATTCTAGTTCTTATTATTATTCATCATAATTTTCACAGTTTTACTAATAAGGATTGCTAAATTGAAATTCATCATCATTGATTACGTATAGTGAAGTTTTCTACAGCATCATAATCAATAGTATTTTCTTCGTATCAGTCAAAGTTACTATTATTACTACCCGTATAGATGATCATTTGATCTTCACTCACTCCTGAGCCTGATTGTCTCTTAATCTCTCACATATCCCAATCTACTCTATTTTATACAGACAGTCACGATACTAAATATTGGATAGAATGAAATCGGAGACGAAGAAGCTCAACATCTGGCTACTGCAGTTCGAAATAATACGCTGATCCTCATTCTATCTTGATTTCTGTCATATCCTCATCTACTCTTTCTCGACATAGTCGTTCACGACACTGTATCTTGGTTACAATTATATTGGGTGGGATGGATTCAGACATCTGGCGGATGCATTGCAATATAACACAGTGAGCTTCACCGTCCTTTCATGTCGCTGGTATTCTGATGTGCACTTTTCCGACAGACACTCACCACGTTCGATCTCTCTCACAATAATTTGAGAGGAGAAATGGGGAGTCGTATTGACGAAATAATTGATCTGAACAAACGGCTACCACAGAACATAAGATTCGTTTTAGATACAAAGCTATTCATTTCACAATCTATCCGTGAAGTTTATAACTTTTTGTAGGGGTTTTTGTTTTAAAACTAAAACAAACACTTTAATTCTGCTTGTGATTGTTTTTGGAAAGTATACTATTGCGTACTGGATTGGCGTCTCCAGTGTTAGTATGATGCTGAAGTAGTCTCTATGTCCCAGTTATATTCGATAATTTGCATACTTCGATCTCATGGACTTCTAAGCAACTGCAGTGAATGGCATTAGTCATGTGGCGGCTGTGGATTCAAACTAAGAGAAGGCATGAGCTCACACCGACACAATGTTAAAATATTCAACAATACATACGGGAAAATGGTTTCATTCATGGCTACACAATTTGGTTGACAAAAGAAAAAACTGGTGTCATCTTCAAATAATCGTTACTGCAAAAATTTAATAATTGTTTCCTTTGGCTTTGAATAAAGGAAGTGAAGAAGAACAGGTTGATTTACCATTGTTGATCACTCGCCTTTGCATTTGGTCTTGAATACAATTAAAATCATGAGTTTTTCGTTGGACCAAATCGATTGGAATTGAATGCTTTACTACATGGGTAATCCCTAAGAGTGTAAACATTCAAATACTAAAACCATATGCTATCCCTAAAGAGAAATAGATGAATAATCAGAATTCTACAATAACTAAGATGCCGGTGTGGGTATGAGTGTGAGCAAATCTATTGATGCCATCCACGTCCTGGTGAAGATCGATCTGTAAAACGAAGCGAAAATGCCGACATTTGAACTTGTCTAAAATAAATTGTTTGAAAACAATTCCATTCGAGTATGTTTAGTTCGAACACAATATGACCAATGTCCTTCGTTAGATCTTTCTCAACTTATCACGGTGAATTGTTGACCACGTGAATATCTTCGACATTGATTCAGAATCTTTCTTGTTTGATGATTCATTTGACAGTTGACTAATAAAACTCTCTTCAAACCAAATCGTAACATTTAGAACATGGAATTTTTTTCTTCTAAGACAGAAAGATATAAGAACTCGATCATCATCATGGGCGTTGGCATGTGGGTGTGCGCATTCTTTTAACAAAAAACCTACATCCACACCAGCCACGCCCACTCCCACCTAAATTTTTTGGGTTGACGATTTTAGATATTGATGCTTTGAATGAGCAAAAAATTACAAAGAAAACTTTATTGAGTGTCTCGTATATAGTAATGATGCTGGACGGGCTCATTGAAGCTGTGTTAATTAAATAAGAGGATCGCCAATGAAACAAATCTGCAAAGCTAACACTGGAACTCATCATGAGTTTTGGGAACTCAAATTAAAAATTCTTATAGTTTCTTGCGCATAAACTTTCATTACCAGGTTTTAGAACAATTTGATAGCGCTGCACGACTTCTGACCCAGTGAAAAATATTCCGAAGAAAATCCAGATTATTTTTGATTAGCGACTGACAAATCCGATTTTTCGAACAAAGCTTCTACTTTTTCTAGAAGAATCCGATTAAAATCGATTAAAATGCTATAATCGATTGCAAAATCAATCAACTNAATACTTTGCAATGTTTCTTCTTCAATGCTTTAACCTTGGTCTTTTTTATGGCGTTTATACTGACAACACCGAGCACTATCAATGATATGAATTTGAGCTGATGTGTCAGTACGAAAAATACCTAATTGTGTCGAATTTGACGATCATGAAACCCGTACGGCCGCTATCATGTTTCGAAAAATGGACGATGAACTGGAAGAAGTAAGTTGATCTCAAGAACTTCCTGATCATCGAATTCGACACAATTAGGTATTTTTCGTACTGACACATCAGCTCAAATTCATATCATTGATAGTGCTCGGTGTTGTCAGTATAAACGCCATAAAAAAGACCAAGGTTAAAGCATTGAAGAAGAAACATTGCAAAGTATTTGTTTTCTGAAGTCAAAAAAAGACTGCTTTTTGTATTTCAGTCGAAAGTGATAGCTTTGAACAATATTTGTGAAATTCGTCCGTACAAATAAAAACTTTACAGTTATTTCTATCATCTTAAAAAAAAAACTTAATTGATTAAGCTTGATAAATAGTGGAGTTATACGAATTTACTTTTCTGCTAACTTTTGGTACACCCTGTACATAATCAAGAATTTAATCCATCATTTTCAAAATTCTAATTCTGTTGTTATTCGAAATCTTGAATCTGACATAGTCGATTGGCTATATGATGAATTTACAAACGAAATTGCATATCCTGTATAACAGATAAAGTAAATTTAAAGAAAACATTTGATGCTACTAAACAATAGAATAATCTGTCAAGTGTTTGGTTTTATGTTTCAATTAATTTAAACAAAACTTTAATTCCAATGATGTCATATTTTTATAAATAACTTTTGACAAATTATAAAAAGAATGTCTTTCAACGTCAGAGAAAAAGGTTGACTCAGGCAATATGGTTATCCTTCTAATAAGAAAAAAAACGATAAATCCATTTTTCTTCTGTTTACCTGCTTCATTAAAGAAAAATATTGACTTTAACATATATACCTGCGTTTTGTCCTTATTACAACAAAATTCTATACTCTATTTTAATGACACGTCTTTATGTTTGTCATGTAATAACAGCATTATATTCTCACATCTAAACTTTAAAGTCATGGAAAACAGCACGATTCATCTACGTCAAAACTCAAGATTAACTCATTGTGAGGATGTTAAATAAGAAAACAATATGCGTAGTTAGGAAAAATAAAAGCCAAATGTTGGCTTATTTTTTTTTTGTATTTGTTGTTAGTCTCAAATAATAGTAGCCTCATTTTCTTATTAAATCAGTAAAGAACAAAATAGATTTATTCACATTATGCAGCAAAAATTATTTTTCTTAATTATTTTTCTTCATTGTCTATTGATAAAATCTGTAAAATTATTGAATACAGCTGGACAAATAGACCTTATCTTTTGCTATTCATCTATAAAATCTGGGGAATCATCAAAATTATCCATTCGTACTCATCTAGTTAACAAAATAGAAGTCGATTATATTTATGTTTTACAAGGAAATCAAATTGGTGACGAACTATTTGTTGTTACGACAATCAAATGTAATTTTTGGCGTTATTCTAATGGACTTTGTCCAATAAATTTCCGAAGTATAATCATATTTATATTAAATCTTAAATTTTTTTATCTATCTATATATATTTAAAGGTAAATATTTAAGTCTTCAAAATCGAATGTCTCCAACTCAATATGTATTACAAATGGACGAGGATTATGCATATTTCAAACAACTTCTTCGTAGTTTATCTTCTCAAATGTTAAATAATAAAAAGGAATTTAATTTAACATATATTATTTCACGTAGTAGTATTCATGATGGTATTGATAAACCAAAAGATTTAAATGGAAATTCATTATCAACAACAAGTCTTATTGGAATTATTTTTCTTAGTGTATGTGCTGTGATTGTATTTGGTTTTACTATTGTATGGTTCGCTATACTTCATTATCGACGATTTACACAAAATCGAATGGAGAAAAATCAGCGCAAAGCCCTTGCGAAATCAACTCAAGAAATACTCGATAAATCACCAATTATTACATTTGATGCAAATAGTGAACATAATGATTATACTGATAGAGATCCGATGTGTGCTATTTGTTTAGAATCATTTAAAAATAAAGAAAAACTTCGAAAACTTGGTATGTATGAAAATAAATTTATTCAATTTTATTTATCTGTTTATTTATTTATTTTGTTTGATTTTTTTTTGACAGAAATTTGTTCACATTATTTTCATATAACATGTATTGATCCATGGTTATTATTGCATCAAAGTTGTCCACTTTGTAATCGAAATATTTTACATAATTCGATACCTTCAATTTCATCGAATGTTATGATTTCTGAAACTGAACAACAAAATTATGAAATACTGGCAACTGTCAATAATAATAATAATAATTAAACAACTCGAACATAGAATTTTATCTTGTGAAACAAGGTTTTGAAGAGAAAAAAACAAACCAGAATTCTTGATATTTTCATTTTAATTTACTTTCAATTCTTACTTTGATGTTGTCTGAATCCGACAAGATTTTTGATATATATATATATATATATATACACCCAAGCATTTTAGCAAAATTTTCAAACAAAAATTTAGGATTGCGGATGATGAAATGATCATCAAAATTGATTTATTTTAAATTTCATTGATTAATACCGAACATTTTAATGCAGTTTAAATCCCCAATTCCGATAAAAAAAATAATTTTCATTAAGTTTGCTTAATTGAAATATTTATTTTAATCAATGAAATGAAAATAGATCAATTTTTAGGTCCTTTTCATCATCTACAATGCAGTTTTCTTTACGTGTTCGTGACATCAAATTCATAAATGTTTTTTTTTCATTTCTAATTTCATACGTATAGTTGTCAAACACATTCTTAAAGATTTTTTGTTTGTTCTCTTTTTGTCCCCTTCAAACATTTATTTTCATACTTAAAAACAACAATTGATAAACTCTTGTTTGATATTTATGTAAATAGAATTTTCGCTATTACAATCAAATATCATTTGTTTCTTTCCTATTTAATGAGACGTATATACATATTCAAGAATACGAAACAAATTTGTTGGCTTAATAATTTCTAATTCATTTGAATCGTTGATTTATTTAAACAAATTTTTCATTTCTATCAAACTCTTCAGTCATTAAACAATATGGCATGAAAAAAAGAAGAAGAAAAGAAAAAGACTCATTTTTTTTCATTCAAATGAGTTTCATGCATCTCTCTCTATGATTATCGCCGTTTGGCATACAAGTTAAAAACAACAGGTGCATTATATAAAATAAAATTCAATTGGTCAACTGTATAATACAGAGCAATTATATGAGAGTGAAAGAAGAATACAATATGAATGTCCTTCGCTCTCTCTCTCTCTCTCTCCTGTGACAAATTACACGGCAGCTTATAGATCGAACATACCTATAACATGTATATTTTCGCTTATATTGTATGAACGAACTCTTGACCTTCAATGTATACATGTACTACATCAAGATAGAAAGTGGAATTCATATTTCTTCTTTCGTTCACATTCTCAATTGTGAATAAAGAAAATGACTTTCTATATAACTCAAAACAGAACGATACGAAAAAAATCGAAGTACACTCATTACATCTTGTTCTTTTCCTTTCTTTCTTTTTTTTGACATTCATGCCTTATGCATGCATATTTATTTTGTAGGAGAGAGGAAATACGAAAAAAAAAACTAATATCAGGAATGATTGATAGTATCTTATTATGTTGAACAATAATCATTATTATATATTGTTTTCGTTCAAAACAAGATAGACAAACTTTAATCCTCTTGAAGATGTATCTATTATTCGTTTGTTTCTTTATTTTAGATTGTTACATCATTTTATTATTATAAGTCTATTGACAATATAAATGAGATGCAGATTTATTAGAAAATAATGCTTTAACAGACATGACAACTTTTTGAATAATAGCATTAAGAGTAATCATCAACACATGACAAGAAAAACAGCAACAAGAAAAATCATACAAAAAAAAAAGAAAAACTACTGTGCTTTTCTTTTTTTTTTCGTTTGTTCACTTCAAGAATCAAATAAGGTAAGATGATGAAAAGAAAAAAACGATAGACAAATAAATAAGTTTTTTTTGTGTGTATGTGTGAATAATCATGAAATGTATACTAGAGAAATTTTATGTCAGTTTTGATTATTTAAAAAGAATGATTTCTTTGTTTTCTAATTGTTGAAAAGAAAAAGGTACAAATTATTCAACTGTATTTGTTAGTTTGAATATTTGATGACATTTTTTCAAGATAAGAAATAAATGGCTCTCACAGTTAATTGTAGTTTATTGTTTTTGAACAAATATTCTGATAACTATATTGACTTTCTAAGGATTTTTTGTTTTTCAAACAATGAATTTTTCTGGTTTCAAGGTTGCACCTTTTTTTTGCCAATTTTTGTCTGTACATGCGTATTTCTTTTTTTTCTCGCTCAATCGTCAATGTGTCTGTCTTTGTATTTAATTTGTTCGTCAAACAATCCAACTTCTATATCTTGTACGAAACGAATTGACCTTTTCGTTATATTCGTTTGAGTTTGTACATAAAAAGAAAAAGATACATGCATGCACCTATAGAATACAATATACTGTTCCTTTCGTCTTTTTCTTTTCGTGTGTCTATACAGATTAGATGTTCACTTTGAGAGATTAGATGACATCGACAACGTCGTCTATATTGTTTAACTGTTTTGTCAATGAAATACAATCTTAAGAAAACTAGTCTGAGTCAATACTCTTATGATATACGTTATAATTATTATACAAGAAGTAAGAAATTCAATGTCTTTTTCTTTTTTCTTTCTAGGTCATATATACGTTTAAGAAATATCATAAGTTCATAAGTTAGATACGCATCGTTAAGCATCCTATATGTACAGATTCATTTATTATAATGTCTAAGTAAATATCGACTAGACAAAGAATAATGTTCATATTAGTTAAGTTCTATTGTGAAGTGAAAAAAAAGAATGAATAAGATTGATAAGTAAAGCAGAATTTGAATTTTGTTTTGTTCTTTATTTGAAATTAAATCATTGTAGATAAAGATTGATTGTAAGTTTCATTTTGAACACTATTTAGTTTTTTTTTTTTTCGAATGGATTTTCTTTCTTATAATAATCGATTATTGATGCATGAAAGAATATATAAAAAGCAGAAAAAGATCAAATACAAATAATTACCTAATAAAAAAATATTCATATGGGCTTTTTTTCTTCTGGCTCTACGTATGTGTATACATATCAAGAAGTGAGAAAAAGAAAAATATCATTGCCAGGGTCTTCTAAGTAATTGCCTATGTTCTTTTCAAAGAAGTAGAATAATATTGGTTAATTTTTGTTAGCATAAACATCTTAGATGTTCAGCGACGAGTGTTAATCGAAATAGATCCTTCAGGGTGATTTGTTCAATATATACATACAATACAACTAATTGAGGGTCTAAGCTCTTGCTAGCCTCTTCTCTACTTCTCTCAATTTCAAATGAGTGAAGTAAATAAATGCATATACGTATATATATGTATATGCGTACACACAAATCAGTCTTAGGGCTATAAGTAGACAACGACTCTCACTTGACAATATCATCGATTACATCGTGTGAATATATCTTTACCGATATGATAACGATGATTTGCTTTATCTTGACGAATTTTTAATCGGCTTAAATTTGTTATTTCGCATAAATATCGTTGATAAATCTGATCCTGCATATATTTTATTTCTATTTTTTTTTTTATAGTGTACAATAATTAATCAATGAAACAACAACGTGAATTCGATGATAATATTGTACGTTCAGGTGCACGTATACGTGAAAGTGTACGTAGTTTACCAAAAGGACATTTTCAACAAATAAGACAAATGTTTGAAAAACAAAAATATACAACAAAAAAGTTATCAACTATTTATGAACGACAACAAAAATCTATGTTATCTGATGTTTTACTACGATTACCTGTTACTGATGATGAAAAATTACAACATACAATAACAAAAATTGATGATATTAAAATAGATCATAATAAATCACTTGAAGAACGTTATCGAGATTATCTTGCTGAATATCAAACATTTCGTTTGAAACTTACAAATGAATTTCTTGAACATAAAATAATGTATCCTTTAAAACAAGATGAACATTTATTTGAACAATCAATGTCTTTGTCTCATGAGAATAATTTAAATGAAGGTAAAACATTTGTTTTTTGTTTTGTGAAACAAAACATAAGTATATATGAAAGAGTATATTTTATTAATGCATTCATTTCAATGAATGTCAAAGACCTGTTTTATCTCGTTTTCATTCATCACCAAGGAACAAAGAAGGAATAGTATAGAAAAAGAAAAAGAAAAAAACAGAGATGGCGGTGCGAAGGTCATCACTTTTTTCTCACGTCTGTTTCTTTTTGTTGCACGAAATTCAAACTGTAAGATTCGTCGTCTTCAGTGATGGAAGAAAAGACTATATATATGAGAAGAATAAACAATCAAATATTTCGAGATAGTAAAAAAAAAGAAGAAACTACAAGAAAAGTGGAGGATGGTAAAGGCTATGACGCCAAAATTGTAGGCGAGTAATATCAGTATTTTATTAGTCATAAGCCACCTCCACCTCCACATTTTCATTTTATTCTTTTAAATTTCTATATTACTCGTCTTTTTATTGGCTATCTTAAACATGTGAGCAAAGTGATAATAATAATAATAATATCTTTTCTTTTTTTCTTTTGTCTTAGAAACACTTTTATATACTACTTCATTACCGGAACAAGAACTTCCTTTATCTAATCTAGAAGAATCTATTTTAACAACATCTCGACTTAATAAACATCGTCAATTAACAATGTCAACCGTTATTAATTATCCTGACAGTTACGATTCATTAACTTCAAATTCTTTAAATCGTACAGGTAGTAGTCGACAATATGTATCTAGTTTACAAAGTACATCAGATGTACATATTAAACCTGTACATTTAAAAACAACAACATGTAATTTATCAAAAGATAATCAACCAGTAACATCTTATGAAACATATAATATAGTAAAATCGTCACGACGTCTTCATTCTTCAACATCATTATCATCAACTGGTTATGATTCAAATTCTTCACCTTCAATTAAATCTAAACGTAATTCAATAGCAACAAACAATAGTAATGATCTTATAATACAATCAATATATTCATCATCATCTTCTTCATCTCCATCATCATCATCATCATCAAGCGATGAACAACAACAGCAATTATCCAAACCTTGGGTAAGTTAAGTTTTAACAACTGTTATTTAATATTCAATTACATTTGTTAGATACAATATCGATCAAATACAACCAATCCTTCAATTTATACTTCAAATTATAATGATGATGTATTTGAAAGTTCAAATGAACCATCACCATTAATAAGTCGTACTGAAATAAAATTAAGTCAACCAACAATTGATCAGCGTCCTACCAATGTTATTTGTCATGCAATTATTCGTAATGCAACTGCAATTAATTCACCTTCATCAACATCAATTCATCATGAACCAATAATAGCAACAAAAAAAGCAAATAATTTATCTTATTTTGTTCAAACAACATCATTTCCTGATCCTACAACAGAAGAAAAAATTGATAGAAAAATTCGTCGATGGAATAATCTTTACAGTGAACGTATGGAACCGATTAATAAATCAAATAGAAGTAGAAAATATCCATTATCATCTACTAGTTCAATGGGTTTTCAAGTTATGAATTTAAATAGTGAACAACAACAACAACAAACAAAACTCGATACCTTAAGTACAAATTCAGAACAAAAACAAATTTATGAACTAGCAGAAAGTCCATTACCACTGGTAGGAACTTCAGCATTGTATCGATTACCACCGAAAAAACCGCCAAGAACATTTGAACATGATAAAAAAAATAATCTTTTCAAAAAATCAAACGATCAAAAAGTACCATCATCCGAATCATCGAATGGAAACTCACCAGCGTTTGATCGTGGTATGACAAAAAAAAAAGTTTTTTCTCAATAGCATTAGGGACATTTTATATGAGAAGTTCATATTCAGTACATTTTTCGCACGATCTCGAAAATTCTTATTTTATAATTTTATTGATTGTAAGAGGTTTAGATGAGGTAAAAGGCGAGTACAGAGGAGAAAAGATATGACGAATATAAAAATTGTTCTTAAAGGTTGATTGATGTAAATATAAAAAATCGTTTTTATTGACCAAAAATAACACATAATTATTTATCTTATCAGTTGAATTAGAGTGACGAAGGAAGTCTTTCAACTGATTAATCGTTTTTAGTCGGGATTATGTGCATCATATAGATCAAAATGAGTTTTGAATACCTTTGTAAAAAGTTCAGAACGTTTAATTTATCGCTGCAGAGATATCATAAATTTATAATAGTTTTTCAAATGAATGCCGTATTTTTCCTACGAAAAATTGATTTTCAAGTTACATTTCTTTTGATTTGTTTCTATCCTAAAATAAGAATATTGAATCTACCGTTATATGTATGTGAGCAATGTAAACGACACACTTTTACCATAGCTTTATCTTAAGATAGAAACAACGACAAGATCTGAAACACTCACAAAGAAAACATATTCTCGTTAAGAGCTGTCTCTATGTTAAATTTTTAGTCGAAATTCATGAATCAGTTTTCTTGAGAGAGATCACGGTATTCATTTAAAAACTATTGTAAAATGTGCATCATCTCGACAGCAATAATAAACGAATGGTCTAAATTGTTTCCAAAGTATTTGTAACGCATTTTGTTCTACATAATGCATGTAGTCATGACTCAAACACAATTTCTCGGGTTAGAAGAGACTTTCATCATGAATAATTATCAAAAACTTTTGTCTTGCATACTTTTCTTGTAAAGTTATGTTAACAAAATCTCAGTCATATGAACTATTGATGAATAAATTTTTTATTATTATTCTAAAAAAAAAACAAATTTTTCATATCTAAATTCTTTGACACTAACAGATTAATTCCTGATAAATAAACATTGGTTTTCAACCTTTATACTAATCCTGTCTGAACGTTGAGTCAATGAAAAATATTTTACATAGTTTTGATTCTTAACATAAGAAATATTTTTTTTATAAAATCTAAAAGTCCATGACACATTAAACTATGTGTTAACAAATACATAAAATTTTACTTGACTTGTTTTGTTTTATTACTATAGGTACTCGTTCAATTAGTTGTATGGATTTAACAGCAAGTGTTTCAAATGCTTTATTATCTAATGATTATCAAATATCAAAACAAAAACATAGTCGGAATTCACGTCGATCAAATAATCTATCAGAAAAACTAATAAAACCAACGATTCCAAATGAAAATTTTAATGAATCATTAAAATTACCGTTAACACCAGTAATAAAAAACGATCATCAAGAACAATATTTATATAATAGTTCTCAAAGTGAATTAAATACAATAAACAAAAATGATTTTATTCTTCATACACCAACATTAAAACAAAAACAAAGTAATCCATTAATAACAAAAAAATCAGTTATGAAAAAAGGTATTAGTGAACCAAATCTTACTAAAACATCTCGAAATAAATCACCATTTTCACCACGTGGTCTTATTAATCGTTTTAAACGTATGTTACCATTATCATTATCAAAACAATCATTAAATGATAAAATAACAAATCATAATGATAATATATCAACAATAAATGATAGTGATGATACCGCTAGTACATCATCCGATAATAATGATCATATTCGAACATCTCGTCTTGATCATGTTAGTCGTGTTAAAGATGTTTATGATTCATTAAATACATCAAATCATATGTCAAGTTTACTTACTGATCCAAATATATCTATATCAATAAATGAATTAACAACATTATATGATTATGTTGTTCATATTATACCTGAACAAGAATTAGGTTATTTTTCAAATGGTAATGGTTGTTTATTATCATCAAATTTTAATCAAGAACCACAACACCAACAACATATATCAACATCAACATCAATACGATTTAAATATCCATTAGATGCAAAAGATGAAATAACATTAAAATATTTTTGTTTTCCTGATCAACATGATTCAAATAATAATCCATTATTATTAATAAAAACTATAACACAAGAATATTTTCGTTTTACATTAACAAATATGTATGGTGTAAGACAATATGGTTATTGTTCACGATTTTATCATAAAAGTACACTTAATGCATTATGTATTGTTTCACCATATGATATGATTGATGTTTATGAAAAAATTCTTTCAACAGCTACAGAATTATTTCTTTCATATAAAGATAATGATGCAAGAATATTTTTAGAAGAAATCTATCAACATCGTTTGCCTAATCGTGGTGATACAATACATATTAGTACAACAACAGTTGGTTTATATACATTGAAATGTGAATATGATAGAAGAAAAGTATTAATTGATTCAGTTATTTTACTTAGTTTATCAACAGGTATGAAATTAGTAGTTTGTTTTTGTTTTTGTTTGAAAATTTGCATATCGTCTGTAGCAGTAGTAACTATCTATTTTGTCTTTAAAAGTTAAAAAATCAAATTTATGTTGTTTCACATTTTGACTTTTCTGTTCTAAGAACAAAAAGTACAAAGATATCAATCCCAAACAGTGTCTAATGTCTGTAAAATGGAATCTCAGCTCTATCGAATCGAATATAACATCTCGGAGAAACCGAATCATTTTTCGTTATTGTGATTCCAGTATCTCATAGAAGGCAGCATCCAAAAACTTTGAGTTTATGACAATTTTTACTTTATCTGCCATGAAAAGTTTTCTGATGAGCCGTTCTTCAGAAATCTCGACAATGGGAAGATTAAACTAAATGGTTTTTATTTAGTAAAAATTAAAAATGAACATTATGAAGTTTACGCAAGAGGAAAAAAATGAAACGTTTGTATTTCACTGCATTTCACTAGTAGGTCAAAATTATTCTAGAGCAGTTCTTATCTATTTCAAAGCTGGAAGTACAATGAAGTCTTTGGACTTTATTACCAGACAAACGTATGTAAAAAGAACTCCAACTAATATGCATGTGACAAACATTGATAGTAGACTTGAAATAGCTAAATTGCACTAAAGTACAGAATTTTCGTTTTTCTTCTTGGATTTATGGCCAGGGAGCTTTAAATAACCTATTCCATTTTGTATTTATTAACCTATGATGCGAAAGTCTTGGCACAAAATATTCACTCATTTTTCGGACATTTAAAGACAGCTGGATCGATTCAAAAGCAGTTATTTAGAATAAGCCTCTTATAGTTTTTTCCAAATATATGTTCAGACTTTTTTTATGCATTAAGAGTGAACAACTATCATCAGATTGTTTCAAAACAGTGATTGTACACAATACTATCTTGGTCTAATTTTGTATTTTGATTGAAATCTAGCAAATTCAAACTGCAAATCAGTTTTTAATGACTCATTTGCGTAATGAAAAAAGATTCTATTTATTCTTTTGGCTTATTTTGCATAACGGATTTTAAAAGAATTTTTTGTTTTAAAGGAATTTTGAAAATAGCAATTACTGCTTTCTATTGAACTCTATGGATGAAATTTTGCCATATTGTAATATCTTATTTTTCACATAATTCATTGTGAGTTGAAACTGTTTCAAGATACACAATTAAGAACGGAACCAAAACCGCTATTTTGATTTGTACTGACACCGTGTTGAAGTTTTTCACAAAATTTATTGGTAGTTGTTCAATCTTACCTCAAAAGGAGAATCAGAATATATTTTCGGAAATAGCAAAAAAGATTCTGGTTTCAACTAACTGCTTCTGGCTATTATTTATCTTGTAAATATTTTAGAAATAGTGGGAAAAATCATTCAATAATTCATTCAGTAGTTACAGAACTCTTAGTCCGAGTAGTCCTTTCTTAACACGTTCAAACCGCATAAAACTATTCAGTATATCAAGTAATAACAAATATAAAAACAAATATTCTTTACTTATACAGATTAATATAACTCTATTGGACAACATTAAATATCAAGTTTTACAGTATCGATACTTGAGCTATTAACATAATTTCTATGAGCTTAAAATATAACTTACAATGTTCTTACCTACTATTAATACAAGATATTAATCGCCCTATATTGCAATGAGTATGAAAGAAAATTAAAAGACAACTCTCACACTACGTCTGTTACATCTGTCGGAGGAGAGAATAGTCCAAATTTATATCCCTATACTTCAATACTCCTTTTAGATCATGTTTGACAAAATATTATATGATTTTGTGTTTTTGTTTTAGACACAATCATTAAAATATTTTCTTCAATTCTCTACGAACAAAAAATAATCTTTATCGGTAATGAACTCGGTCCATTAACACGTTTAATTAATACATTCATTTGTCTACTGTATCCATTTTCATGGCCACATACCTATGTTCCTATATTACCTGCATTAATGCTTGATGTAATACAAGCACCAACACCTTATATTTTAGGAATATTGCGTTCTTGTGAATCATATTTAACAGCAAATGATGATTTTTCATTACAAGATAATTCTGATATACTTATTGTTGATATTGATCATGATCGTATACGTTCAATAAATGATTATTTAACAAATAATTCATATCGTAGTTCAATGGAAAATTTGCATAATTTTCCATTAACACATATAGAAACAACAAGTTTTCAAATATTACCTAAAATATTTAAAATTGAATTAAAACAAGAAATATCATTATTACGTAAAAATCGTTTAAGTCTATCATTAGATGAATGTCAACAACGTTTACATAATGTATTTATGTCTATATTTGTACAATCATGTTATAATTATAAAGATTATTATAATGAAAATTTTCAACGTGAAGAATTTCTTCACTCAAAACAACATACAATTGAATTATTTTTAGAATGGTTTACACGTACACAAATATTTGAATTATTTATTCGACAAAAATTTGAAAATAATAATTCAAATCAATATGCGATTACATTTGATTTAGCTTGTGAAAAATATTCTAAAACATTAAATAAACAAATAACACCACAACGTGTTACAGTTAAATCAGTTAAACGAAAATCAGCAACACGAGCAAATAAACAAGAGAATCGATTTTAATTAAAATAAAGACAAGTTTAATTATAAGCTATTTAGTCAGATAAATTTCTTTCCTTTTCTTTTCTTTTTTTGTATAAAATATTTGTGTGTTAAAGATAGTTTTTTTTTGTACGTGTATTCTTCGTTTATGTAACAGTCATTGTATCAATAAAAGCAACAAAAAAGATAATGTGCGTGTTGTTCTGCTCGTGTTTTTTCAATGAAATATTAATTTATATATGTTTGTGTTTTTTTTTGGAAAATAAGATAAAAAGTACAACTTTTAACATAATGGATGGGTCGTAATGAATGATCACGCTTTGAATTCAAGTTCTTCATCATTTAATGTGTTATTTTAAAAAAATACTGCAAGATGCAGCGTAAGAAAAGCTGTATATCACAACTCCTATTTTATGGCATGTATGATTTTGGTCGAAAAACGAGTATGGGGTTGAGTCCATCCGGTTGATGCCGAATTCGACTAACTCTAGTGTTGGGGTAGATGTGAAGAAAAGACCGATATCCACATGCGTATCTCACACTGACATCTTTGTCAACACCAGATGCTCATGCCTACAACTTTTTTCATACATCATTATCTCTTGTTGGTGTACTTACATATTTCTCACTTTGTTGTGTGTAATAAAACATCTTCATCTTACTAGTCGAAAATCTCAAAATAAACTTCTGTCGACTTTTTTCTTTTAGCCAAAAGAATGACAATTCAGTAAACCTTTACTTTTGAAACTAGACAAAATTCTGTATGACTAATTTTCGACGCCGTGAGCAATATCGTTGTTTTTTGGTTCACAATGAATTTCTTTTCTTATTTGATCAATAAATGGATCAGAGTTTTTACATATATTTTCATTGCATATTATTGGCAATAGCGTCTCATACATAATTATCTAGAACATTGAAATCGAGACCTATTTTTGTGGTCATCTATAATTGTTTATGAAATGCATGAAATTCTCTTCACATCATGCCAATAATTCCTGTTGTGTATTTTAGTATGGCATTGTGTTGTTGATAGATGAAATCATCAACTAGTAGATGTTGATCTTCAACAAAATTCTCATGTAATCATATTTTACTAGGTTTAAATATAATTGGAGACTTAAAGCTAATTTTAGAAACTCATATAAGCTGCATAGTTCTTTTTTTGAATAACATCAGAATAAGTGAAAAAAGTTCATTAAAACCACATATAAATTGATCTCAAATCTATCATAGATTATAGTCTTTGATATGACTCTTTAATCGAAGAAATAAGAAAATGAATTCGTCGTATATAAAAAAAGAACCCTATCTTGTTCGTAGCATCGAAAATTAGCCACAAAGAATTTTGTCTATTGTGAAAACTCGGAGTGTATTCATATAATAAGCCTTATATTGCAGATGGTAGAACTTTTCATCCTGCATCTTGTAGTATTTTTTTTAATAACATACATTTGATGATGTAAAAATAAACTACCAAACACGACCATTCATTATGGCCTAGTGATGATTAAGTATTGTTGTTGTTGTGGTGGTTGTTTTGTATTTGAAGTATATATGAATGGTTGCAGTTGAGTGTTTTCTACGAGAGCAATAATAAGATGTATATTTTGAAGTTTATAATGATAACTTTTTATTCAATGTTTAGTGCTTAATGCTTCGAGCATTCATCATAGTATTTATTCAACTATTGTTTTTTGCTCTCAACACTTACATGTCTTTGAATGATAAGTGATAAAATGTTGAATCAAAATGAAGAATGTGTTTGTTTTTAATAGTTTGAATTCATTGATTGTATTTTGATAAATATAAGAGAAAAAAAAAGTAATGAATACAATGCCTCGAGGATTAAAGTGTAAAAAGTGCAATAAGTGATATGATTGGTAACATGAATGTATTAAACAAAAACGTTTAAGTTGATATCCTGTGTTCAATATTTTATTCGATTCATCCAGCAAAGTAAAACAATATTATCCTTATTTTTGGTAAAATTGTCTATATAAACGTAGACACATTATATTTCATTTCCGAGGTTATGTCTGTCATGATCGATGTATTGAGACAGGGGCTTCAAAATGTCGTCATATACTTCAATACTTTCTTTAGTTCGTGTCTCATAAAATATTTTTATTTAGATATAAATAATACAGAGTGTTCCAAAAATTCGATGGAAAATAGAGCTTGAATGACTCTTCAAGAATTCAACTTATTTGCATACTTTTTTCATAATTTGATTTCATACTCATCCAAGTTTTATTCAGTATAATTCAAATAAAATGAATGTATCTATGAAAATTAGAATATAAATAGTTCTACTCATGTTTAAACTTGAGTCATCGAAAATTGTGAACAGAAATCTGCCAATCAAATTTGACAAAGAAACATCAAGTCAAGATGTTATTAAAGAATTATCTCAATGTTTTACTAAAAAACTAATATTATAGATAACTGAACACATTATGAAAGATTTACAGTAATGACACAAGAAATATTACTGAAGTTCATGTTGATAATGACAGTGTATTAACATTAATTGTTCTGGCTGTTTGCAAAGCTTAGTCAGCAATAGTTCAACAAAATGAAACTACTTCGGTTTTTTACGATAAAATAGCGTAATATCTGAGCAATATTTTTTTTCTTTCATGGAAGATTCCCAGATCATGTCATTTAGTGTCATTTGAGTTTTTTCAATAAAGACGCATGAAAGATGATGTCTGCAAGATGTTTAATAAAGATCATATTGACATCACAATAACAATCGATAACAAAAATAAAATGGTTTCACAGAAAATTTTCTACAATGTCTTTTTTCAAATATTTGCATACAATGAATAAATCTAAAAAAAAAGAAGTCTGATATTTTCTTCGTTGAAATTTATATTCCTGGTATAATTTATTTCGCACTGATAGACAAATAATACTGAAACATGACAAGCATATAAAAATTCAACCAAGTGAAGTTTTTATTAGANTGACACAAGAAATATTACTGAGGTTCATGTTGATAATGACAGTGTATTAACATTAATTGTTCTGGCTGTTTGCAAAGCTTAGTCAGCAAATAGTTCAACAAATGAAACTATTTCGGTTTTTTACGATAAAATAGCGTAATATCTGAGCAATATTTTTTTTCTTTCACGGAAGATTCACAGATCATGTCATTTAGTGTCATTTCAGTTTTTTCAATAAAGACGCATGAAAGATGATGTCTGCAAGATGTTTAATAAAGATCATATTGACATCACAATAACAATCGATAACAAAAAAAAAATGGTTTCACAGAAAATTTTCTACAATGTCTTTTTTCAAATATTTGCATACAATGAATAAATCTAAAAAAAGAAGTCTGATATTTTTTCCGTTGAAATTTATATTCCTGGTATAATTTATTTCGCACTGATAGACAAATAATACTGAAACATGACAAGCATATAAAAATTCAATCAAGTGAAGTTTTTATTAGACTCAGCATAAAGTTAAATCTACACTCAGCATCTGACTTGTTTCTATATGAAACATTTTTCTTATTAATATAAAGTTTAAGTATTGTAAAAGTCAGAGCTTAGTATTTTAGAGATCTATTTCATTAGCTACAGAACTTAGCATTAACTAAATAGATTAAAAATTATAAAACAATGTTTTTCTCAGACAAAGGTCGAAACAAACGCAAAATTCTGATCATCATCCATTGTTTTTGACTTGTCTGAAACACTTTTAAGCAGATTAATACGAGCATCCATTTGTACCAAAAACTTCGGCTTACATTTTCGATCTAAACTTATTTTTCCGAGTATTTTCAAAAATTAACTCATCAATCTTGAACAAACATCGAAATAAAATTTCTAAATTCATATTCGAAAAGTGCATAATATGCTGATTTTAATCCATAGCTTTTGACTCCTCAGAAACGCGTTCAAGGAAACAAAAAATAAACAAATATTTTATCGTCTGTATGAGTTTTTGTCATAAGAATTAAGAAAATTGTACATCATCTTAGTTGATAGAACAATCTTTGAAACTGAACATTTCTAAGACATTTGAGAAAAGCAAAATTTCTATTTTATTTATTTTGATCTTTTATAAATTTCTTTTAAGATTAAACAAAATAATCTGATGTTTATTTATATTTCAAAAATAATTGATAATATCATGAAATTATAATTAATTATATTTATGGCGATGCATTTGCATTTCCATTACATCTATAATAATATATATTAAATATTTAAATAATACTATAAATAAAACATTGGTAATTTTCATAAATACTTACAAAGAAGTATCACAAAAAATCCACATTGCGTCTTGTTGAAAAATTGGAGTGAACGATATTTGTGATGTCATAAATCCATATTCCCAAGAACAACCACGAGACAATACTATAAAAATCGTATATCATACAAAAGTGAAGCAAATATAAAACCAGGTTCTTTTTTCATTTCGAAATAACATACAACCGTTTTTAACACGTATGTAACATTGTCCATTGCAGGGCGTTTTATAACCTGCCAATGCAACTGCATCGACACTAAGTTGGCAATTAGGGTTTCGAGAATCACATTGGTAACACCAGCCAGCAGCAGCCAAAGCTAAACAATAATTTTAAACAATAATATATATATATATATATTAATTATTAAGAGATCTTACCCGTTTCAATGAAACATGCCCAAGTTATAAGAAAGATAAAAAAGATGAAGAAATTCTTGCTAGTCATTTTGTGATATACCTTCGAATAAAATAAAAAAAAAAGAAATGATGTTTTCGTCGATTAATTGATATCGATCATTCTCAAGTAGATTTAAAACAATTTCAATAATATGTGATTTATTTGAAAAAAAAACAAGTAAATCTCATCGTGAAATAGCATTTTCAAAGAAAAAAAATACGCCTTTTCTTTTTCTGCGTTGAATCATTTTTTTTCTCAAAATAAGGTATTTATTTCATTTGAATTGCATATCGTTTTACAATACGTGGTATGATCAACGCAAACAAAAATTAATCCATGTTTTCGTTTTACGATTCAATTAAATTTGAGATTAGAACATTGACGATTTTCTATTATTATTGTTCCGAGAAACAATAGAAAGTAACAATCAATTACGGTTTCAATTTTTCGAATATAAAAATATTTCTGCAAGTTAATTTTTAGTGTGCGTAGATCCAGATTAGAAGTAAGACTTACGAAAATATTTGTAAAAGCATTCATTTTCATTGAGCTTAGTCTTATAAAGCAGAATAAAGAAAAAACTATTGATACTATTCATGCCGTTTTTCATATTATAAATGAAAATCAAATTTTATTGATTGTTCAAGGGCGGATTTTACTAGTTCTATTAGGACTAGTTTGATCATCATTTACTATACTTGAATTCTATATGAATTTGCTAGACATTAATTACGATTTTGTTTCTGCTCAGAAGAATAAATTAATAAAGGATCGGTTACGTTGTTTTTAAATTTAGTTAAAGTTTAACTTAGAATCACATGTTGCTAAATTTACCTAAATGATGAAAGTGATGAACAAATCGAAAGAATTTAAGTAATAAAATAAATAACTGATGAGATATTAGCGTACAATGTTGAAAATTGAAAATGGATTTATTTGAACAGTGATGAAACATGAATAATTTTTGATCACAATATAAATATATATGGTATTTCTTTTTAGTCACTGCAAATGTGTTTAGAGCTCACTTTTTGCTCATCAGTAGGACTCATAGTATAGATAAAAACCTCGAAAATGGTGCGTGTCATTAGATTGTTCTTCTCGAGTTATGGTTATTTTACTGAATTTTCAGTATATTCCAGTATATTACGAAAAATTTCGCAGTAAGAAATTTTAGTCTAAAATTTGTCTCAATAGCAGAGCTGATAGAATTGATTTTATTTTGAAGGTTTCAGATTAAACGGATGCTTCCTATCGTAGGCGACATATATAGATAAAGACGTTATTTTCTCACACAACCTTCGAAAATAGCCCATTTTTAGGTATTCCAAAATCTTAAGAGTTATTGGGAAAATTTCTAATGGAATCTTATTAGAATATTTTTCGTAATATCCTGCGACATGCTAAAAATGAAGTACAATAACCATAACTCTAAAAGAAAGACCTACTAATATTAACCCTTTTTAGAGTTTTCATCTAAACTTTGAGTTCTACCTATAAGCAAAATATGAGCTTGAATAGAGGGTATTAATCAGCGAGGTTCCCTCATTAGTCAAATCAGATTATATTTGAAAAGCGAAGAGATTTTTTCGATAAAAGTTTGTTTCGAAATTCTACGTTTGAACAGACGAAAACCGTACGAATAAGTTCTATCTAAGAGTATAATATTCTTTATCTGCTTAATTTACGATATATCTGCTTGTTTTATTTCTCAATTAAACTATTAATTTATTAAACAAACAAGAATATCATAATAACTGTAATAGAAATATTCAATGATTTGAACAAATATTTTATTCTTATGAATCTTTTTATTTGATGCTGAAGTTTAAGATATTATAGCCTAAATTTATTTTCTCAAGTCTATTTTATAAAACAAATACAATTATATAGAAATTCTATCTACAAGAAAGATTCTTTTTTATCTGTTTTATCAACTTCATAGATAAATATAGCATGTCATTATTTACATTTTCGTTTGTTTTTATTATAGAGATAAGTATTTAAATAAATATTAAGTATGAAACAACAGTTTAAAAAAAAATATCATGAGTAAAACATCAGCATCCAATAAGTTTTTTGATCCTTGTATAACATGTTCAAGTAAATATAATCGAATTCGATCATCGTTATGTCAATGTAAACATTGTTCTGCATCATTTTGTGTTGATTGCATGAAAGAGCATCTGGATGAATTACAGAAAACTACCGATGAACTTGTAGATCTACACAATGAACTTAAACAGTTAATAAATACAAAAAAGATATTAATTAAAGATGAAACAATCAAATCAAAGCAGCAATTGAGTAAATGGCTTAAAACATATATTGATAATCTTACTATTGAAAAATCAATAATTGATGCGAATATTGACAAAGAAGAAAAAGATGCACAAGTAAACTGTGAAATCATATTCTTATGTTGAGTAGAGTTAATTCTGTTGTTTTTAGAAATTTGTTTTTGATATTGAATCAGAATTACAAACTATCAATGATAATATTCAAGCCTTTACAAAAACTTATAGCTTTCAATCAGAACATATGACAGAAGTTTTAGAAAAACTTAATGAACTAATTCAACGCTTAACTTCTTTAGTAGAGACAAGAGAATACGATTTACCATCAACAATGCCGAGATATACATTTAAGTTTAATTATTCTTCAAAATTGACAACTAATAGTTCTGAACCGAAATCAAACACGTATCAAAATAAAAATAAAAAAGCATCTAATACGACTGAGCAACCGAACGATGAGGATAACTGGCAATCTGACTCATCTCTTTCAGACGATGAAACTTCAAAGAATGAATACAATGATTTTTCGTTTCCTGATGAAAATTATTTTTGTAATCGAAATAAATTTGAATCTACATCATACATTGTTAATTGTATGGCAAGTGATGGAATAAATATAATGTATTCGACTATTGAAGATGACCAACATGAACGTATTGTATATTATTATTTAGATCAGAAAGATAGTCATTATGGACAAGATGATCCACAACGAATTTGGAACCAATCGCGTATCGTTGATATAATATGGTGGAAGAGTATTAATAAATTTATTTGTGCTACACTAAATGGAATTTATACGATTGAATACCTTGATAACTGCTTTCGAATTTTAAATGTTATTAATAATCGTTGGACACGAGTATCTGTAGCAGCTAATACTAATCATATATGGATTCATACGAATGGGAAAATCAATGTTTACAATATAAATTTTCAATTAGTACGATTAATCAATTTTAATCTTTCACGCCCATTAACAAGTGCTAGTTTCTGTGTAACTGATAATTTCGTTGCATTTGCTTTGATTCGTCGTATAGAAAATGATCGAGATCTATTACACATTGAATTCTATGATTGTGATATGAAAAAAATAAAAGGTGTTCGTTTGGGATTAAGCGAAACTTCGTGTATAATTCGAACTGATGGAAATAATCGATTTTACGTTGCTATGGGACAACAAAGGTTTTATATTGTTACACCAAATGGAAACAAACAGATAATTAATCTTGGAAAACAAGCCAGTTGCCTTGCTGTAGTCAACAGTCGAAATATTGTTTTTACTAAATCACGTTCGGACTTAGAACTTGTGAGATGTTAAATATATTTGATGTAATTTTACTGAAGACATTTTGATTAAAACGTATGACAGTCATTTGAATATTAATGAACCAAATATGAAAGGCTTGCATTTTCTCTTTTAGCACATTATATTTTGTGAAACGGATGCTGAAGTATACAGAGTAGAAATTCGCACCTCTTCCCTACACACCATGACAGACGTTAGCTTGAGACCATTATCTGACGGTATATCAATAACGGCTTGTTATAATATATTAGATGCTTCCTTATTGTATATCTGGAGAGTTAAGAAATATGCAGCAAGCTAAACAGAATAAAACAATTTTCCTGCGGTTGACAACAGTAGCTACGTCGTGTTTAGATAACGTACGATGTAAAAGTGATGTCACAAAATGTCGATCCATATTTCTCTTCAATAGATAGATTCTGAAAAGAATATTTTGTGGAACTCACATATAATTTCGAAGAAAATAATAGTGAGTGGAAGTTTAAATCGAGATTTATGTGGCTCTCCCCCTCCAGAGCCTGGCAAGTGTCAGGGAGAGGAGGAGAGGCAAAGAGTATTGGATACGTTTCCATTGCAACGGAAAAGTGAAGGAAGACCAACGGTAGTTGGGCAAGTTTCCACTGCAACCGAAAAAAGAGCGTAAGTAATAACAGTTGTTAGATTATTCTGAGCCTCTATAGATTCTAACTAGTCCGAATATTTCGCGTTTTAAATTTTAATGTAATAGAAGAATCTTATTGTAGATGCTAATCAGTAGGCTGGTGATATCATTGATCTAGCAGAGTTAGAATAGAACGGATATAAAAAAGTGTAAACTAGCTGTATTCTCAGTCTAGGGAAAACTCAACAGTATACGTCAAAGTTCATCGAGAGAAAAGATGGTGGGCTCGGAAACTTCTTGGATGATTGAATCAATGTGCACAACAAACCAAGATAGTGGTTAGATCGGCAAAACGAAGAATCGAATGATATTTGCTGCTTTTTGTAGTATGTATCGTGTATATGATCATTAGGAGAAAAGAGATTATCTATTGAAAACGTATCTGACAATACAAATAAGTTTTTATACTATAATGACGTTAGACGAAGCAAATAAATTGATGAAATAGAAATTTTAAATGCAAACATTTTTGAAATAATGAAATTTCAGAGTATGCCTATTCAAGTATAAAAATTCTTATAATTTTGATTTATTCATTTATGTGGTATTATTTAAATGTATTATTTTAAAACTTCTGACAATACACCATAAATTTATAACAGTCAGAGTTTGTGAATGCTACAATTTGACTTCTCCATGGGATCGCACTAATAAATTTTCATTAAATATTTATTTTTAGTAAGAGGCAAGTTATTTGGTAAAATTTGTTCATAGTTCGAGTTTATTTGTAGAAAACTAGAAATAGGTTTTGTAAATCGAATTCGAATTAATGAAAGGTAGTGGAATTTTGTAAACTAAAAACAGTATGTATATATATATATATAATGCTATTGTAATTATAAGTTGTTTGGAGATAATTTGTGTTCACATAAAATTTAATTGCAAGTTAAATTTTCAGCCAAAATTCAAGATAAGAGAAACTAATCAACTTGTAAACTGAGGATCTAGAAACCGATATAGTAATGTTCATTTACTCTTTTGTTCTCTTTAGAAAATCCTACAAAGATTTTGTCAAGAGATCTGATTACATCCTCGAGGAAAGCTAGTAAAATCCTGTAAGATGTTGACAGAAATTCCTTTTTTAATTGGCAATTATTAAAATCCTGAAAGAACTCTAATCTAAAAACAATGGAAAGCTTCTCTGAATCCTTCTAAGATCGTATTCCAAATCATGTCAAAATCTTCGACATGTCATGGCTACACGTTTATTTCAGGATTTAAAGTTTCTGAATCAACTGTTGCTTTTAAATCTAGTCGTTAAATACTCAGAGAAAAGTTACAGACATCATGATAAACAGAAAGTAAAATGTGATACAGCGAATGAAATCATGATGCAATGAATCATTTTTTTTCACTCGTTCATTGTCTTGTGGCACTACACAACCATAGATAAAAAGGAGAACTAAAGCACTCAAGTGAGTGAAACGAAAAAGAACAAAACCAACTTAGACGACAACAACAAGAGAAAACTAGCAGACACATCTAGAAAAAATAATCGCAACATACTATGTATATTCAAGTGATTCTATTATTTTTTCCATTGATAAAATACCACGTCTACCATGGAGAAAAAGAAAACCTCGACAACAACAACAACAGCTGCTTCTGTTGCTGCCACACCATCTGAACATGCGAGTATAAGATTACGACGGTCTCCTCATGCTCATATGGTTCAGAATTATCTACTAGTGTGACTCGATGCCAATATTGATGGTATGAATAACGAAGTTCGTCTCAACGACATGAACAAATTAAAAGAAGTAGTGAACACTGTATATCCATTCATTGATGTGAATGAATGCATCGACTATATAACCGATATTCAGGAACAGAAAATATTTATGATCTCTTCTGATGCCTTCGAACAAACAGCTGTTCCCCTTGTACAGGAAATTCCTCAAGTCAGTACTATTTACATTTTGAGTGAAAACCAAGCCCAATATGAAGGTTGAACCAAAGAATGGTAAAAAACCAGCGGCGTTTTTACAGACATTGCCTCAATCTCTAAACCACTTCAACAAGCGGCAAATCAAGGTGACCAAAATATGATTTCAATCAGTTTTTTCACAACCAAATAATGAAACCAGGAAGCCAAATCTCGACCAATTGGACTGTTCCTTTATGTACGCATAGATAACGAAAGAGATTCTATTAAACATCAATTTCGATCAAAAAATATCAATGAATTTACTACTTATTGCCGCCAATTATTCGCCACGAGTCCAACAAAACTGCAAAATGTCGACAAATTCGAACGAGAATACCACCAGTATGTCCCGATTTGGTGGTATACCAAGCTGTGTTTTCTGTATTCGATGCTCAATCAGTCACTACGAATGATGAAGATCAATCTCATTATAAGTATGGGATTTTTTATTCAAGATCTACACAACAACATTGCCGAACTTCATGCTCAACAGTTTCATGAGCATGGGCATATGAGTTCATTTGCTGTTTATCGTAGTCAAGCACTATTGCAGATACAATTTGATCAACTGGTCAAAACCAAAGGCGGACTATTAACGTTTAATAACTTTCTATCGACAAGTCTTCATCGAGAAGTTTCCCTTGTCTTTGTGCAGATAAATGAAAATGATCTTGATCTGATTGGTGTACTCTTTGAAATAACTATTGATCCGTCAACATCGACTATTCCTTTCGTAAACGTCTATGACGTCAGTTATTTCAAAGAAGAAGAAGAAATTCTCTTCTCTATGCATTCCATATTTCGCATTGGACCAATGAAACAGATAGATGGAAAAAGTCGTCTCTGACAAGCCAATTTAACATTGACCAGCGACAACGATCAAGAACCTCTTGCCCTTACGAAACATATGCTCAAGAAGATCTTTTTTTATCTAAAAGAATGACATTGCTTAGGTATCTTACTACTTAAATTTGGACACTTCGATAAAGCACAAGAAATATATGATATTCTGCTTAACCAAACAACGACTGATGAGGAAAAACCATATATTTATTTTCACCTCGGAGGAGTGAAGGATAGTCAAGGTGAATATTCGGATACCATCGTTTATTATCAGCAATTTATTAAAATCAGAAACACCCTCGCACCAATTGATGTCGATTTAGCTGCTTCTTACAACGCCATTGGTTTGATGCACGACAATATGGGTAATTTGATTTCAATTTTATTGCTGTATGTCGTTCGTTTGGGTTGTATTTTATTGAGACCTAAAATAAAATAAGTTCGAATTCAAAAATTGACATATCAATCCATGCAATAATGAACACTGTTGAGAGCAGTGTAAAAGAATAATCATATTGCTTCGTTTGTTTATTTATGATTGAAATCTAAGAACTGCAAAATTGTATGTCAATTCTTTTTTATGTTTGAAAAATTTTTTTAACAGATATTGTACGCGATTGATGTCTCCTTACTATTTCACAAAAAGCAGTTGTAATTTTTCTCGGAATTCGTCAAAAACATCTTGTAGATGATAAGTAATTATAATCAACTGTCGTTTTACAAGATCTTTTTAATGGATCCACAAAGTTCAAGATAACTGTTCTCTAACAAGATGCTTTTGACGAGTTCATATAAAAATTACAAACTTATTGCGCGAATGTTACTTCTTTTTTCTTGTGTGATTTCATTTATGGATGCGTGATAAATAAAATCATACAATATTTGAAAGGGAAGAAAATTTCCTATGAATTGATTAAAAATAAAATTCTTTTCTAAACTTGTTTATAGAAGAGCCATAAAAGAGATATAGGGATCAATATTTTGTGCTGTTTTTCTGAATCTTGTGAAAAGTACGAATTCTTTTTTTTAGAGTGCTACTATTTTCTGTTGCGCCATTTCGTTTATGAACTTGTTATAAAAAAAAAACTTATATACAGTCAGGAAGAGGAGAAAAAGTTCTATTGTTTGGTAGAAAAACTTTTCTTTCAGCACCCTTTTATCGAACAGAAATAGGGATCGACATTTTGTGCCATTACTTGTTCATCTTACGTTATTTAAGGAATTCCTTAAATAACCGAACGATGTAACTGATAGTATAATGTCAATTTTAAAATTTAGTCGTACTCATGAGTTTTTGAGGAATAGAATGCGTTCGAATTCAAAGCAATCTATTTTAATGTTAAGTTTATATTCTTTGAATGATTTGGGTATCTAGATTTCACTTATCTTATCTTTCTGAAAATGATTTCTATAGGTCATGTTTATTGACATTTTGATAAACAATTATTTCTGGATTCGAAATCTAGTTCGTTCCATAAGAAGCTATTTTCGTTAGGGATAAAAAAAAAATAAAACCTATATTTCTTTATTTTATAGTAGAAAAAATTGAACTTTTATAACAGGAATATTATTTAGTGCATCGCCTAAACTATTAGATTTTTTTTATAAACATGCTTAAAATAGGATAAAATGTCTATTGTAATCATTTTTTTCTTTTTCTACTGAAATACATGAAGCTAGTAGAAGACTATTTGCACAAAAACCGTGAATTACATGCCGAAAAACGTTTTTGAAAATGTAATAAGTAATTATTTAATAAATCTTTTTTAAAAGTATGGTTATTGTTGAATTTATCAACATATGAAAAGATGATATTTAGAGCACGTCATTAAGATCTATAGATGGTAATGGTTTATAATGAAAAACATTAACGTGACGCGTATGTGCAATTTTCACAATTTATTGACTTTGCTCCACAAAAAGTATAAAGATGGACTCCATTGTTGGCCTTGAGATGATTCAATATTTTTATTTCGAAACTACGCACACCGTTTTATCTGTTCTACTCACGAAGTCTTGCACATATTATTTTCCTTATCATTGTCACAATGTAGACGATTATTTTTGTTTGTTCTTTAAAACGCCTGCAAGCATTAAGCAATTGTTTTTGTCGGACAACTAAAATATATAATATGGCTACGGCAAAAAAATTATCAAATGTTGATGATTCTGAATCGTGTGCATCATGCTCAAATAAATATAATCGTATTCGACATTCATTTTGTCTATGTAAACATTGTTCTACACCATTATGCATGGACTGCATGAAAGAACATCACGAGGAAGTTTTACAAGATTTGGCTCAAATTCCTCATGAATACAATGAATTGAAAGAATTATTACAGAAAAAGCAAAAGATGATCGTTGATTAAACAACAAAATCAATCGAAGATGTTAATCAATATTTTAAGGCATATATCAATGAATTACTTGAAACACAAAAGAAAATTATTTTAGATATCGAAAAAGCAAAAGAGGATGCACAAGTAAGAAGAAAAGTTGATAAGATAATACAACCATCTTCTTACTTGTTTAGAGTTATGTGCTTAAAATCGATTCAGATTTGCGCACGCTTGGTATCGAGATTGAAGGTTTGACCAAATAAAGTATTGTACAATCAATGAAAATGAGCAATCTAATGACAGAACTTAAGTCCATTGAACAATTAATCAATATATATCAAGCAATAAGAACTGAGAAGTTGCTGAAGATAAAGCCTGGATTTTCGATAGACTTTGACTGTCCACCTGTTGTTTCAGAAGATGTTCCTCAATCTCTTCCTATCGAGACAATAAAACTACCTCTGACAAACTCAAAAGAATTATCGTCTGAAATCAGTTCATTAAATGCGTTACAACAGCCTGATACACTGCAGGATTTCGTATGTCAAGTGCAACAAATTGATAGTTCTCATAATCACAATGATGACAGTAACAGAAAATATGAAAATACAAAAACAACATATACTATTAATCGAATGGCAAGCGATGGGAAAAATGTAATGTATACAAGTTATTACGATGAAGGATCTGATCTTATTACATACAGATGTATGAACAGTGTTGATCGATATAAGCATTGGAAACAATCACGTATTGACGATATGATATGGTGGAATAATATTGCTAAGTTTATCTGTGCTACTAAAGATGGAAACTATGCGGTGGATTCCATCAAAGAGATGTTTAAAATTACATGTATTATACGTGGTAAATGTTCGTATTGTCGTGTAGCAGCTAATGCTGATAATCTCTTTATATGGATCAATCGTACCGAAAATAAATTTTATGGTGTTGAAGTCTATTCTAACCAATTTGAGTGTATAAGACTCATTGACTTCAACCGTCGTCCAGTTGAATATTTTATACGCAACATTGTTAGTTTTTGTGTGACAGATAATCTTGTGGCATCAATTTGTACGCGTATGCAGAATTATCGTGAAACTTTTCTGGTTACTTTCTGTGATTTTCAAATGAACAAATTGAACTCAATTGCTCTTGGTGAATGTGATGGCTTTATAGAAATTCGTACCGACGGAAAGGATCGATTCTTCATTACAACGGGACGTCGTCGATTTTATATTATTCATTCCAATGGTAAAAAGCAAATAATCAATCTTAACAGTGATGGTGACTGTATTGCGATTCTTCATAATGGACGCGTTGCTATCAGTAAACAGCGCAAAAGCATGGAAATCATAACTTATTAAATACATTATGACAATATCCAAATTGATGGAAATTTAAAAAATTATGGACTTATTTTTGTAGTTAGATCATTAGTTTCTTTTAGGTTGGAATATTTTGACAAAAAGGAATGTTCTGCTTTTTGAACTTTACAAATGTTATTCAAGCATTGAATTAATTATTCATTAATTATACTGTAGCTATTAAAAGAAATCGAATGAGACTTATGAAAGATATAAATGATTGAGTCGAATACACTCTTTTCTTATTATGTAGAAATTTTCAAATTGATTCATCAGATTATTACAGTCATACTGCTCAGTGACATAACAAACATATCGGTCTTTATCGAATGCAATAAGTATCTGAAAAAATTACAGAATAAATTTGACAATGAGCCATATTTGACATAGTGAAGATGATCAATTGTCTCAAATAAAGTTGTGGCGTAACTTACGATCTTTGTCTGCTCAAAATGATAGTTGTGTGATGTATCTCTCTCGTCTTCGAAATTATCATATGATGAGTTGTTTTGTTCGAAGATTGTATAAGGCAGAGTATTTTTTTTGAATCATAACACACTTGTTACTGACACTATCAAATTATGAGCAATATTGCGAAGTTACATTATACAGTTAATGACAAAAGAGTAACAAAAAGTTTCTCTATTCTCTGGAATCTAAGTATGAATGAAATATTGGTCACTATTGATAACATCACCTATAATTGGTTTTATGAATCAATTTTTTTTCTCTCAAGACATAGCATCTTTATTAAGTTCGATCAGCATTTAATTATACATTATCACAATAGAAAAAACAACAAGTATCATGTCAATCATTTCATATATTGTCAAATATTGAGATGGATTGGTGTTAAGTATATTCTAAAATGCTATTGTACTGTCAATTTTAGAATACCCTCGGATTCATTTTTTTCTACCCAAATTATACCTGATTTACTATTTGTGTCACTCAATTTTGTTTTCTCATACATATGGATTAATAATGCATCTGTTGATTACCAATTAATAACGGATAGACGAAACAGTGTAGCTGAGTATTAATATCAATTTTGACTTGCATATCTTCATGACAGATATATTATTCTCAAATTAGTTTTGGCTACCATTCCTGTGGTCAGGAAAAAATATGTACATGGTCAGCATAAATGTTAAACGGCCACTACTAAACTTACCAGTAATTAATTGTAAACTGGCCAACTTATTAAATATAAGTAGCAGTAAAAAATACAAAATTTATCAGTAAAAACAAGAGGCTTTACTCGTAGAAAATAATTTAAATAAATCAAAGCAACACAGAATAAATAACAAGAAACTCAAAGAATAATTAAAAAGTACAAGAAAATGAAAATTAAACTATTGTATTAGTAAAGCATGTTTAGCCTTTGCTAGTCTACCTCTTTTTCTCAACGATCGATACTATCTTTGCTCTACTGGTGGTTTACAAAATTTCAAACGAATAACCATATCAAGACACACCATTTTTTTCATATCAATTTGAAGACTACTAAAGATAAGTTGAAAATCCTTTGTTTCTTCATTTCAACATATTGCTAAACCGAACAGATGATATAAAGATACGAAGTTTGTTGTCATCACCATCATATATATAATATCATGTATGATACAACAAAAGATTTATTTTCATCAATTGGAATATTTAGATTATTTTCATATTATTGTTTTAATCCATTGGCATATTAGTTTTCGTTTCATTAACAGTTATTTTATCACTAACTGCATGATATATCAGATGAATACTTGCACGAAATTGAAGACTATGATCTTTGGCTTTCTTGCATCTGTAATAAGCTTTTTTTCGACTCTTCTACATAGTTGGTGTACTATATTGACCATCGATTTGCAACATTATCAAATCCATTTTTTAGGTTTCTTTTATCTTCCTTTGCTATATCACTTTCATATTGAGAAATCAGTATCACTTCGGTAGTTACGAACACATTGAATCTTGTAAATACGAAATATGTTATTTTTATTTGAAAAACATTAAATCTTTATACATAAGAATAGATAAAGACAACGAATGGTGTAAAAGTCGAGAAGCTTCTTTTCCTGTGTTTTAGATAATGAATAATAAGAACTAAAACAATGATTCTTCTTATTCACAGAATATGTAGGTTAAAAGAGATATAAAAGTGTTTCATTCGATAGCCTTTTCAATTTTTATACTGATCCCTTAATATAATAGACTCTTAATTATTTGTATGTACTGATTTTTAAATCCATTTATAAACCTAATTAAGTAATAATTGACCGTTTAAGTAAATTGCTGATAAATTTTTAAATTGACTGATATTTTATAATTATTTCATTTACTAACCATAAATCATATATCCATAACTTTTCACTCGCCTTTTCATGCATCATATTGAAAGAAAGTATTTATAATACATTCTAAAATTCACAGGTAAAAATTACAAAAGGTTCAGATTATTACGATTTCAACTTTGTTGGAGTCCTATGCAAGGCTCCATTGCCATCATATTTCGTCTATGTTATTTATCACGGTAATTATTTATAATATATATTCGCTCTTAAGAAAATAATTTTGATCCAATCATAAGTATTTAAAAATATAATGGTAATTATATAAATTCGTTTGCAAACATACTCAATGTCCGATTTGGTAGCTTAATAATCAATCAGAAAGAATAATTGAAAAATTCTTGTCGTATATAGATAATCAATTAATATCTTAAATCATTTATTTCATTTGAATAATGTCAATATAAAGTGAATACCAAAATTAGTCAGTCCGGTTTATGTTCAATTTTTTCTGCTGTTGCAAGTGTTATAAAGAATCCAAATAGTGTTTTGAATAGATGAAATTATTTCCGATATCGACATAAGAAAACTAAAAAAAACTATCCTCAAGCTTCAAAACCCAGAGACTCCAGAAAACCGAAACGTTCGTTTTTCAATACTTAGAACACTTAAATATAATTGTTTTTAGACTACATAGAACGATATATCGTTCTATATAGTCTAAAGAAAATTATACATACATACTCTGGGTGTTGAAAAACTAGAGTTTGAGTTTTCTAGATTCTTATATTCTTGCTGAAAACTATTTTCTCTATTCGAATCAGCATTTGGATTCTTTATAACGCTTACGGCAGCGAAAATAAATTGAAAATAAATTTTATCGAATAATCTTGATACTCAATGTGTGAACGTATTTTTAGTAAATTTTCTTGTTACATAACATTATAGCTGCTATAAAGTATTCAAGACTATTATTCGAAATATTTTTTAGTAACAAACGAAAAAAGAAAGAAAAAAATAAAAGCAATTTTGAAATATAATTGATGTATCATCACAAAAAAAGAAACATTTTCTTACTGTTCACTTGAAGCACGTGTGAAGTGCCTATTTTTCTTTTGCCTTCTATACAATTTACTATGAGTATATATGGATATCAAAGACGAGTAAGACACATACATTGATTAGTCAAGCGTATCTCTTTTGATTTGTTTCATTGCTTGTAACTGTCTCTATAATACATGATTACATTTTCATCGGCAAACAGACTTTTGAAAAAAAAAATAAACCTTATTCACAGTGTGATTGTTGACCACGAAAATTTATAAAAAAGTGGTCATACTAGCTTATTTGTTGCTAAGTGTGGCCTCTTCTTTCACCTTTCTTTCTCAATCATGTTGCTTGTATATGCTGACAAGATAATTGACAAAAAGAGATGAAAAGAAAGAGACAGTTCGTAGTAACAAATAAACTAGTATGATCAATTTTTTTTATACATGTTCGTGGTCAACAAGCAAAGCGTGAATAACACTTATTGAAGTTAGTACTAATTTTATTTTTTTTTTTTTGTGTGAATCTCAAAAATAAAAATATTTTTTTCTTAGAATATTAAATGAACCTTTACATTAATTATGTAGCATAAAATTATGTTTAAGCATAGTTTTTGTTCTAACGAAGTATATATTTTTATCGTATAGTAAATGAACTGAGTTGATCTTTGATAAAAATATTTTATTAGCTATTGAAATAACATTTCCAAGAATAATTTTACCTATACTTACAAAAAGTCTAATATTATTCTTAAATTTGAATTTTAGTCTTACATTACATTATTATTTATAAGCTAAAAATGATGTAGCATAAGTTATATATACTCGAATTATTTAATTATCATTTTTAATTGTATAAACTATTCATTAATTAATTAGTTCAATATGACACGAATGAAATGGATGTTTAAAATATTATCTATATCATTTATAATCGGTTGTGTAATTGTTCGTTATTTATTATTTCAAAAAAAATCATCTATATATCTAATCGATAAACATAATTATCGTTATGATGTTAATCATCATCATGTTGAAAATGAAAATAATTTTCTATCAAAAAATATTAATGTAATACCTTTGCCAAAATTTATTGATAAAAAAAATTCCATATTAGTAATATCAAATGGTTTTCAAGTTGTACCAAAGCAAAAGCCTACAGAAGATCTTCAACTAGCTCTTCGTCGTTATTTAAAATATATTTCATTATTAACAGAAATACCAATAGAAATTAATGAAGATTCTTTATCATCTGAAAATAAACTTATCATTGATTGTCTATCGATTACATCACAAAAAGATGCATATCCAACACTTGGGGAAGATGAATCTTATACGCTTAATATAACAAAAACAGGTTCATATTTATATGCATTATCATTAACAGGTATTATTAGAGGTTTATCAACATTTATTCAATTGATTGAACGAAATACATCATCCGATACATTTTATATTCCATTAGTAAATATAATTGATAGACCTCGATTTAAATGGCGAGGTTTATTACTTGATGTATCTCGTCATTGGATGCCTGTGACAGTAATTGAACGAACATTAAATGCAATGGAATTAAGTAAACTTAATGTTCTTCATTTACATTTATCTGATGATCAAGGTTTTCGTGTTGAAAGTATTGAATACAATTTATTACATGATAGAAAAGATTTTTTTACTCAAAAAGACATTCAACATCTTGTTGAATATGCTCGACAACGACGTATACGTATTATACCTGAATTCGATATTCCTGGTCATACAACAAGGTAATTAATAACAGATTAATCATTTTCTTATGAGAAAGAAATTTGCTTGAGATTTCAAGAAAAATCTTTACTATTAAGATATAATATTCGTTCGATTTAAATATATACCCCTGAAAAAAAAAGCTGCAATTCGTATTTCAGTTAAATCCTTATCATAAAAACATATTTTTTTGAAATTAATTACATATTTAGAAACCCCGTGGACTTTTCTATCCCAAGCTATACATGGATTTTTATTTGCACTTATGTATTACCAAAACAAAATTGAGTACAATGAAGACACTCGCATATCCAGATTTCCACTAATTTTACAAATTTTTCAGCACTATTGAAGTACCCTTTGCAAAAAAAGTAATTATGTATATTCTGATAGAGCTTAAAATTCTCTATCATCCTATATATATATATATTTGTCTTACCATGCATTTATGTACTGCAGCACATAAATGAAAGATAGTTAACAAATATGCAGAATAATAGAAAATTTTAAGCTCTTTTACAATCTATGATTGCTTTTTTTTTAAATTTATTTTCATAGTAACCATATTTAAATAAAAGAGAAAATTAACGATTTTAGGTACTTGTCACTTGACGGTGTGTTCATCGTACTCAAGTTTTTCTTTCAATAAATGAATATAAGCATATAAGTAAATATACAGGATGATAAAGAATTTTAAGCTCTAGCAGAATATATATAATTATTTTTTCAAAAGGTAACTCTATAGTGCTGAAAAATTTATAAAATTAGTTTTGATGACAGTGAAAAAATCAAGTTTGTGGGAATCTGGATATGAGAGTGTCTTCATTGTACTCAATTTTGTTTTGGTAATACATAAGCGCAGATAAAAATCCATATATAGCTTGAGATAGAAAAGTCCACAGGCTTTCTAAATATGTAATTAATTTCAATAAAAATATTTTTTTATGATAAGGATTTAACTGAAATACAAACTGCAGCTATTGTATTTCAGGGGTATATAGCGGAGTTGATGTTAAAATGTAAAAATTTTTGTTCATTTATTGAAAAGAAATAGCTTTCAACTGATTAGAAACTTTCTATGCGGATTTAACTAAGATTTGTAGATATCGATATAACTGCGACTTACAGTTACTCATACACCGAGATTGAAGAATTGTTGACAAAGATAGGCTTTATTCTTTTGCAAGAAATTTCAAGACTTATTGTGAACAAGTCATCTTGATTTCATCAAGATGTGCACACAACTGAACATAACGATCACACTGAAAAGAAAAGTCAAGTGTCAGTCAAAGTTTTCATGTTTTCAATTTATTGAGCGCTAAAGAGATAGAATCAGTTTGAATTTTTGATGAGCGACATCGATCGGTCTGAAATTCATACTGATATCAGACTGACAAGTTGTTGAACCATTCCATCTCTGAATAGTGATATTTGACAAAGTTCACTTTCAACAAAGTTTCATCACGCATTCTCTATAAGATACTAACGATGGAGGTGTGTGTATTGTTGAGCGAAAAAGTGGCACATGTTCGGGTCAAATGAAAGCTCTCAACGCCAAACTAACAAGGTTAAAATATTAGCGGCCGTTGGCTTGCCTAGAGGGAGATATTTAACTTTTAAGTGTAGGTGTAAAAATGAATCAGGAAAGATCTTCTCCACTATTATAAGGATAAAACATAGTGTTGTTCGGGGCGATTAGGGAGTTTGTAGGGACCCTCTTTCATATGGCCCGAACAACACTATGTTTTGTCCTTATAATAGCGGAGTGAATTTTTCTAGTGATTGATAGGAA